GAGAGAGAGAGAGAGGGAGAGAGAGAGAAAGAGAGAGAGAGAGAGAGAGAGAGAGAGAGAGAGAGAGAGAGTCTCCATCCAGTCAGGAATCCCTCACTGCTTCCTATATACTTCCCTTTCAATCCTGTGCGGCCTGTCTATCCTTTGTGCTGACATGCTATTCCAACTCAGGTCCCAAAAACTGTTCCACCTCCACTCAGCAAAGTCAGGAGATGACAAGGCTGTCTAGGTACAACTGTCACATTCTCAGTCAAGGACAATACTGGGCACAGTGCCCTGGGATACATAGGATACAATAGCAGTTACCAAGAGTGGTGACCTGTGTGAGTGTAAAGAAAACCTGAAGGTAAACAAGGAGGCCTGAAGGCAGCCACAAAAGCCAGGCATTCAAAACCTGAGGTGCCAGGAACTGAGGAGGGAAAGTCAGGTGGGAAAGACTTCCCTAAAGTCAAGTGAGAAAGACTTCCCTGAGCCTACGACATAAACGTTCACCTAAGCGACCTAGGCAGGGCCTTTGTCTGTGATGTGAGTATGAGGGGGAGAGAATAAGGGCACACCACTAAGTGACAGCTCCGGAGTGACTTCATGTGAACACACCCTAAGCCTGCAGTGACTGCTACACCCACTTACCTACCCCACTGCTGCTCATACCAGGGAATACAACTGGCAAACGCTTCCTACAGGACACTCTAGTGCCCATAAACACTCAGGACATCCTCAGCCAGGGCCACAGGCAGCGTCTACACTTTTGCCATGCAGACAGTGCCATAGGGCCATCTTGCCTCAGTTCTCTGCCCCCAAACCTCCCAGTATCCTACAAGTTCACGGGTTCCCAGGTCATGTGTCATCTCGGATTCTCATGATTGCAGCATGGCTTCTCTTTCCTTCTATGAGTCATATTAAACAGAATGTAGTGACCATATCCACGAAGCTCCAATATTTGGATAATGGCAATCAATATTTGAATAATGACCTCACAGTGACTGTGAAATGTCATCTGACATTGGGCAAATCAGAGTTGAAGTCTGTCTCTGTGATTCACTAGGGCTGTGCCTTTGACTAAGTCACTAGCTAGAGTACCACAACTCCAGTAGTAGCCTTCATTTCCTTGTACACAAAATAAAGTGTGTATTGTTTCTATAGCACAGCTGTTTTCATACATGAGATAACACAGTTGAACACTGTTTGTAAATGATAAACTTGAGTGTTAACACACAGAGAGAAACAAAGGACACAGTAACTCGGTTTTATCATGTTGGGGTAGTACAGAAAGTAACTGATGGGATTTTCCCCACACAGCCATCATACAGTACAAACAGAAGGAAAGAGTCAGAAATAATGCTACAGAAGAGAATAGTATTAAATAAGAGAGCAGCCTTCCGTCAGAGTGTTGAATAGCTATAGAATAGACGTGGGATGAAATGTATGTTGCTCATTTGACTGCCTTAATGAATGTTGACTGACTGAATAGATGGATATGTTATTGATCTCATGAATGAATGAAATATGTGACCAAGTGAATGCTTGAAAAATTCAAGGAAATACTTTTTGAGAAATGAAACCACACAGCTCATAAACTCAAGTAGTAACTCAAGGGCTCCATATGGATCTATTATAATGATGAAACAAAGTGAGGTCATTGGAAGTCATGTATAGATGTTCTTAAAAGCCTATAGTCTAGTTTCACACTCAAACATGTATGATACCCCCTTGTATCCCTTTAATACTCTCTCCAAATGGCACTGTATGTGCATAACAATGAGACTTTCTGGTCACACATGAGTACTGAATCATGAACCTTACAAGGCAGGATGAAAAAGATTTCCTGCAGTTTGTAGATTTGATTCTTTTCCTCTCCTGGATGTCCAAAGGCTACATGAATGAAGTAAGGTCTAAGACAAGAGCCTTCAAGTGGACCACTGCTGAAAAGGCAGCTACTGGTATCCACAGTTCGTACAATACTATCAGTGAGAGACTAACCTTTAGGTGCTCACAACTAAACAAACATTAGTGGTTGGTTCCTTTGAAACTACCTCCCTAAATAATTAGACACTTTCTTCTCTTATTCATTAACACTCACTGAAGTTTTAAATTGTTCCAGTTTGTTTGAAGAGAAATTAAATAACAAGGTACACAATTTTAGCATCATGAAAAATATGTTAAGACTCCAGTAATTCAAATCTTGTGGCCTAAATTAGGAAAACATACCCCCCCATTCTCTGTTACTATACAAAGGGTTAATTAAAGCATGAGTTTTCCTGAGTTAAAAAAAAAAGCATATCAAGCCCTAAAATCAGAATCATTTAGACTTCTGATGCCAAAAATCTGTTTGAGAGAGCAGGCTTTACTACACTGACATTTTAAGAGTAGCCAAAGTCCTGTTCCCACTAAATTCTGGCAGTCCCCAGAGATCTGGGAACAGCCTAAACTCCTCCTGGTTCTCTATTTTCTATCTCAGGAGCTTCCAGTGCTACCCAGCACAGCATAAAGTTCAACTGAGCAAGCCATCACTTAAATGTCTGTTCATATTACACACAAACTGAAATTTCCATAGCATAAGAATGGTTTAATATGGCAAGATGTGGGGTATCTTTAAAAGCTCACTGTATCTTAGATTTAAATTCAATAGGATGCAGTTACACACACACACACACACACACACACACACACACGAGAGAGAGAGAGAGAGAGAGAGAGAGAGAGAGAGAGAGAGAGAGAGAAAGACAGAGAGATTTCCCTCAAAGTAAAATAGGATATCCTCATATTAGTCCAAGATTACAAGGAAATTTTCAACAAAATTATAAATAAAGGGGGGGGGTGATAGAACCTGGAGTTAGCCTGTGCAAGGGTCCTGGTTTCAATCCTCTGTATCTAATATAATAGAATGAAATAAAACAAAAAGTAAGCGGCGTGTGCCATTGTTCAAGCTAAATCAGACTAAACAGATGACAGAGATGACTCAGTGGGTAAGAGCACTTGCTCAGCAAGCAGGAGGGTCTGTATTCAGCTCATAGCACCCAGGTAAAAAGCTAGGCATAGCCTTGTGTTTGTTTGTAACTCTAGTATTGTGGAGAAAATGCAAGGAGGTCTTCGGGGGCTTGCTGGCTGCTAGTCTAGTCAGTAAGAGGCCCTCTCTCAAATAAATAAGGCAGAGAGCCATAGAGTAGGTGTTGTACTCCTAGAGCAGGATATCACCTGGGCTTTGTGTACCCAGGCCTGTGCACATGCATACACAATCACACACACCCCCATACACACAAACACACACACACACACACACACACACACACACACACTTATGTTTTAAAACTGCAGGACAGATATACAAATACATTCATTGAGGCAACAGCCCCAACGTCTATCACCAGTTTTGAGGTCTTCAAATTATTCCTGTCAAAATCTCCCTTAAACACTACTTAATATCACACTTTGGTATCTGAAGTCAAACCACAGAAAGAGTGTACATTCACTTACCTATTAGCTGACTGTTGAGAGAACTTTCCAGTCAAATCAATTCACTTAATCTTTCAAGTAGATCTGATTATCATTGTCTTTGACAAAACTCACAGACTTCACCTAATGAAAACACAAATAGAAGAGGACTTCAATCGGGAGCCTGATGCTATCTGTAAGTTAACAATACAAAATTCAGATCAAGACTAGAAAATACATCTTTTCTATTACCGTGCTATCAAATAACAAAAGTATTTGTTCACTGGGTCAAATTTTACAATTGGGGTAAAATGAATGTTCAAGCATAAAGAGATTAAAGTCACACAATAAGATGCAAAAGTTTATTTCCAACCCCAACCGACACATGGGAATAATTGACCACATAATGCAAGGACATTAAAAATCACACACAAGCAAGCATTGAAATAGTTGTTCTGTAATAACCCCCATTGATTCCGATAATTGGCTAACAACCAAATTGTAGGTCACATTTCACAAAAGCCGTTAAATCTTGGCTACAGCCAATTTCTGCTAAGGAATAGACACTAACACTTAGATTGATGATTTATATGTAACAGTGATCAAGCCATCTTGAAAGGTATTCAGCACCATGGATTTCCAGATCATCCTGAACATGCTGTCTTGTTTTCCCCAGCAACTGTTCACAGTAGTGAAGCCCCATCGACAGCTGACGATAAATATTCCAGCACATTCCACTCATTTTGTCAGCATAACACCTGCCCTGAAGTCCAGAAATCAAATTACTGTCTCAATTGTGGGAGAAGTTCCAAGAGAAAGTGAGCAATAGCTTACCTGGAGAGAGACTAAAATAGACACTAAAGGATGGAGCAGAAGAGCAGATGACAGAAAATTACACAGCTTCAAGCTAATCCTGACTCAGGTCTCATTGGGGTAGGTTCTGTATTTTCAAACAAGCCAGTATTTTGAAGTCACAGAACATAAACACGACCGCATCCTAGTCAAAGTTCAAGCCCATATTCCAAAGTCATACATACATGGCTTTTATTGCACAATTTAGAATTGTGAGACAGCCACTTCCGAAGTATTGCTACACATATTAATAAAATTAATCAGTGTTTTGAAGAAACCAGTCTAATAATGGGTAATATAAATAACAATAGCCACATCCAAGTACAGTCTATACTAGGAAAAGGAATATATATGCATGAACTTTCAAGGAAACCTATGCCTAGATTCTGGCTTCATTGCTGTTCACAGAGTGGTATTCAGGAAGCTCACTTGGGCATAGACTCAAGAGACTTCTTCATTAGCAAAGATAAACAGTCCTTATTATCTTTCCAGAGTTCCTGCCATTAGTATGACAAGACAAATGTCACAGGCTTTGGTTATTAACTTATCCGTCCATTTATTTCTGTGGTGTTGGGAATATTACTCAGGGACTTGCACTTGCAAACTAAGAGATCTACCACTGCCCTATACCCCACCCCAGTTCATTCAATGTGTGTGTGTGTGTGTGTGTGTGTGTGTGTGTGTGTGTGTGTTTTAATTTTGCTGAATCAACAAATAAATCATTCGATGGTACAACACAAACATACATTGTCTTTGAACACTGAAAGCCGAAAAAATATTTCCCTATTTTTCAATTTTTTTTGTTATGCAAGCGTTTCAAAGACTTTCAAACAATGGTACCTAGGTTCATCATACAATTTGTGAATACAAGTCAGGTTGGGTGTATGTAGAAGCCAGTGCATGCTTCTTTCAGACCATCACTTCCTAGAATAGACTAGGGCTCATCTCCTCATGAGGCAGAGTACACCTCAAGATTCTTCCTACACAATTTCTTCTCATTTTGTGTGGCTGTGTGTTGTGTATGCATGTGTGTTTGTGTATCTTCCTTGATGGATCTCCAGTCCATCTTTTGAGAAAGGAGCTCTTGCTACACCTGGAACACACCTATTGGCTAGACTGGCTGGTAGAAATCCTTCATGGCTCTAGGATTGCAGATATGTGCAGCCACGCCTGGCTTTATGTGTATGTAGAGGTGTTTGGGGGTCTGAAGTCAGGACCTCATGTTTGTATATCACGCACTTTACCCACTGAGCCATCCCCCCAGCCCTCAAGCTTGAAAGTTCTTTAAATCTTTTTTTTTTAATTTGTAAATGTGAAACTGACCAACTGATACAAACATTGAAATCTAATATCCCTTTCTAGTCTTTCTCACTTCTTACATAGAATACAGTTTCCTTAAATTATATAAATTTCTGAGTACAACCAGATATTAGGCCTATCAACAGATTAGACTCATATGCTGAAAGCCTTTTCACCTACACAGCCACAGCAAACATCTTCTCTGTATCTGTTGGTGGGGATGAGCTGCAATTTCAAATGACTTAAGGACATGTACAATGTTTGCAAAGTGCCTAAACGTAGTACAGTTACCCGCTGTAGAAGTCCAAGAGCGGTTAAGGAAAATGCACTATTCACCCATGAATGACTTGATTACATGACTGCTAGGGATTAGCACAAAAGATACAATTAGGTTGCCTGTAAGCCTAGGTGGGCAAGCCACAAGACATTTTCTTTAATGGTCATTTCTTTAAAACTAAACAGTGACACATGACATTACAGTAGATCCCTATAATCCAAAGCCACAAAGCAAAGAAACACAGAAATATTTTTACACCTAGCTGAAGAGGCTGGGTCTACACTGCCTCTCCTCTACCTTCCTCTACTGCTGCCCACACCATACTTGACACTAGAGCAGAATGAGGCACTGCTCAGTCAGTGGCATTTTGGTCCTATCAGAAAATCAAAGTTGATTTGAACCTTGTGTTTCAAGGTCTAGTCAATAGAATAGTCTATTGTTAGCTACTACTTGACTGTGCTTGTCACCAGTTGAACTGTTTCAGCTGGGCTTGCATGGCTGGGGCTAGATGGATGGCTTTTCCTGCTTATACACTGGGACCGAGCTCTGCAAGTTCATGAGATACTCTCTGGGGCATGGTGGTGCTAGTCTGCTGCAACAGTCATCAAAGTAGCTCAGAGTGGCTGGTACAGTAAGCTTGAGTCACCCTGTCCTTATACACCTGAGCTAATGTTGAGCAATCTTCCAACACTCTCCTTTCACTGGCAGTAACAATGAGGATTAGAAGGTCAATATGGCTCAGGGTCTGCAACTAGAAACTGATGTCTTGGATTCCTGGAGGGCACAAATCCAGCAAAGCTCCAGTAAAATTGTTTCTTGGTTTAGGATACAACAGAAAGGTGGATACAAATGAAAACAGTGAGAGAACAGACCCCAAGTACAGAAAACTTCACCATTCCATCACCACCCCCCCCCAGCAGCTTGGTTAGTACAGCAACCCTGCTTAGTTACTCTTACCAGTTTTCCTTAGAAATACGTAAAAAAAAAAAAATCGTAAATGCTAGAATCAGAAAGACTGTCCTATTCTGTAACCCAAACACAATATCTACTATTTGCTCCAATACGAGTTTATTTTATACAGATGCCCTTCTACTGCACATGCGTTTTTGTTGTTTTTTTTTCACTCACTATTCTGTAAGCAATTCTAACTTCCAGGTATTCACACTGCTCGTCCTTACATATTATTCCACAGAGTTTGCATGAAATCACTTTTCTTTCATTATTCCCGGATATGGAAAAATGTCACATACTTTTACCTGTATCACTAGAAATACTATTTTCCTTAAAATATTTTCAGAAAAATATCATTAAACCAAAAATAGGAATATTTTATGAACTTAGATTTAACCTACATCAAATGATTTAAATTACTTATGAAGCAGCCAAACATAAATAAGTATTCTACATTCAGCCAATGTCCTTACTTTGTATTTGACACTTAAAAAAAATACAAGTCATACCTCAGTTTCTTTTTTATTATTTTAATGGTGACAGTAATTCTTTTCCTGTTTAAAATAATTTTACTGTCTTTCATCTTTAATGAAAAATTCGCCCAATCATAAAATTTGACCGTGTTTAGGTCCTGGCTAAAATTTAACTTTTATAGTTAAATGGCCGTGTGTGTGTGTGTGTGTGTGTGTGTGTGTGTGTGTGTGTGTGTGTGTATGTATGTTATGTACCTACGTATGCAGATGCCAATGGAGGCCAGAAGAGGGCACCAAATAAACGGATGCTGTAGTTATAGGCGTGTGGAAACCAACTGTTCTGGGTGCTGGGAACAGAACTTGAGTCCTCTACAACAGCAGCCAGTGCCATCTTCTCATCCCGTGGTTGCTGGGCTATTTTGTATGTTTGTATGTTTATGCTGTAGTCTAATGAGTCACTTCTCTTTTTATTATCTCAATCCACATATGGAAGACAGAACTTTGATTCAACCTGTAATAATATATGACTGGCACCGAACTACACAATTCCGTGTTGTTGCATGAACATGGCATGCACATGTTGGGCTGCTTCAGTTACTTCTGTTTGTGGTGTGTCTGAGACTGTAGAAGGACAACCTTCTGCTCCTTGTTATTTTATTCTAACTTTTTTTGAAATAGGTATGTGCTTGCAACATTCTCAGGTGCCATAACCTTCAACCCCTGTATTATATGTCCTTCATTTTGATCATACTCAAAAACATCGGCCTAGATTGTGGTTAAAATTGCATTTATCATAAATGCAATGTTTAGGTGTGATAAATGGAAATGTCTTTTTAGGACTTTAGTTTTTCATGTTAACCAAGCACACTGTATTATAAATTATCTCTGTGTGTATGACACTCTGACCTTCACATTCCATAAATGTTTATATTCTGTTAGTCTCCTCTTCTCTCTTTTCCCATTCCTATTTTACTTGCTAAAAATACATCATTCCTATCCAGCAACTAATTGCATTAATTCCTTTTAAGTCCCCCAGAATATTATCCTGTACATGTGGTCAGACAGTGATTAAGTAGAAGGTAAGTATTTTAAGTCCTATCTTAAATAAACCAGCTTAATTTTCTTGACAAAACTTAGATCAAACTATATATAAACACTACCACTTCCACAAAGTATCCCCATCATCCATTTAATTTTCCTATCTGAGGAACCCTGGAGCTCATTTAAAACAAAAAAAAATGAATGGCTCAAACAGCCTAGTTCCAAGGAACTTCTTCCTTCTCACTCTCCAA